ATTCGTGTACTGGCCCAGCAGAGAGGAGCCCATGAACTGCGTAGCCTTTACTGTCACCCTCATTAACACCGACAGACTCTGTTTATCTAATGAGGAACAACTCGTCATCCACGACTTCATCCTGGAAGCCACACAGGTGTCTCACGCACTACACAAGCTCTTAAAAAGGAAATTTGCATGAAGTTAGTTTGCTTGATTAGACACTCTAAAAAATGCTGGGTTGTTTTAAGCCAATTTTGGGTCAAATACAGACAAACCCAGCCGTTGGGTTATATTTTTAAATTACATTTTTAACCCAATGTTTGAGTTTGTCCATATTTGACTCAAAATTGGGTTAAAACAACCCAGCATTTTTTAGAGTGGACGAACTTAAAGGAGTAGTTCACTTTAAAAAACTTTTGCTGATAATTTACTCGCCCCCATGTCATCCAAGATGTCCATGTCATTCTTTCTTCAGTCGAAAAGAAATTAAGGTTTTTGATGAAAACATTCCAGGATTTTTTTCCATATAATGGACTTCAATGGGAACCAAACAGTTCAAGGTCCAAAAGACAGTTTCAATGCAAACTGTAAAATGTTCAAAGGGCTTTAAACGATTCCAGATTATGAATAAGGGTCTTATCAATCGAAACAATCCCTCATTTAAAAAAAAAAAGTTTAAGTTTTATAAGCTCAAATGCTGTTCTGTGATGCGCGTTTGTGACTCTCCTGTTTGAACTCGTTCATCAAAATGATCTTTTTTCGTGTCATTTGGTTCATTCAAACAACGAAATGAACGAGTTGACTCGAGAAAAGATTCGTTCATTTTGATGAACGAGTTTGAATAGGAGAGTCACAAATGCGCATCACAGAACAGAGCAAGGCGACCATCTGAGCTTATAAAACTTAAACTTTATTTTTTTTTTTTTAATAAGCGATCGTTACGCTTGATAAGACCCTTATTCATCGTCTGGAATCGTTTAGAGCCCTTTGAACAGTTTGCACTGAAACTGTCTTTTGAACCTTGAACCGTTTGGTTCCCATTGAAGTCCATTTTATGGAGAAAAATCATGGAATGTTTTCATCAAAAACCTTAATTTCTTTTTGACTGAAGAAAGAAAGACATGCATATCTTGGATGACATGGGGGTGAGTAAATTATCAGCAAAAGTTTTTTTTTAAAGCGAACTACTCCTTTAACGTGGACGCATTAATTCCTGCATAAGTATAACATGCTTATATAACAGGTTTATCTTTGCTGTGCAGGACGACTATGTGCTAGAAGTCCGACATTTCCAATGTCCGAATTGGCCAGATCCTGATGCATCCATCAACAGCACATTTGAGCTTATAAACATCATCAAAGAAGAGGCCATGACGAGGGACGGTCCCACCATTGTGCATGATGAGTGAGTGCCCTGTGTGTGCATAAAACATGAGTAGTGGCGTAGAGGCGCTTTTCCACCGTCAGGCCAAACCATTCTCAACACTTAACCTTTTAATTCCGTGGCGATCCGGCCCAGCCGGCACGGATACAGTTTCATTTTCCACTGTGGGGCTGAAAACCGAGCTGGAATGTAATACAAATGCCTCAGTCGTTGCCAGAGGTGGACAAAGTACATACTTACATTACTGAAGTATAGAGACTTCTGGTCAAATATTACTGGTATAAGTAAAAGTTGTAAAGGCAGATTTTTACTTGCTTTAAAAAGTACTTAAGTATCAAATTAAATCATTTATTTTTATGTCATTGTTGTATGAATGCATGCTGTGCCATCATGGTAGTTTAAGCCAGTCAGTGATCCTCCATCCGACATGCATATGACTACCTTGGACTTATTTAAATACAAAGTCAAAAACATAGTATAAAAGAAAGGTTTCTACAGCTTGTTTAGCTAAAGCACATTTCTGAAAGGACTTCAGTTAACATTATTAGCACTTAACTACGCATTTGCATGCAACTAACGTCATTGTCCAACCTTACCTATGCGTCAGAGGTGTATCCATGAGGCTATGGTTACTTTTTGGGCAAATCTAGGGGGGGTGTAAGGGTTACAGGGGGTTAAGTTTCCAGAAAATGTAATACTCAAGTACAATACAGTTAGTTACTCAAAAAGTGTACTCAAGTAGGCTACAGTACTCAGGCAAATTTACTTTGTTACTGTCCACCTGGGGTAACACAAGAGTTTACAGACGGTATGAGATGTAAACACCGACCACGTTATGAAGATCAGATCTTTGTAATACGAAGTAACTGTTTACTTCACTCCAATGGCGAGGCCAGAAACTGAACAGAAACTGGTTGCCAGGCAAGTAACCAATCCCGAGCGGATACATCACCACGGTTAGAATTCTGGCTGATACCGGTTTGTAACCGTACCTGCCGAACCAAGCTCAAGTCGTAATATAACTGTATCCATTTCTTGCCGTTCGGCCTGACAGTGGAAGAGCGGCTTATGTGACCAAAAGACCAAAAGCAAAGCCTCATGGATTGTGTTTTACAGGTTCGGGGCAGTTTCTGCCGGGATGTTCTGTGCTCTGACCACACTCTCCCAGCAGCTGGAGAACGAGAGTGCTGTGGATGTCTATCAAGTGGCCAAAATGATTAACCTAATGAGGCCTGGTGTCTTCACTGAAATTGTAAGTTAACAAAATGTAACCTCATCACAAAAGTCTACCTGAAGATAAATTCAATTTAGAGAGGTCATTGGGGTCTCGTGTGGAAGTTTGACGCAATATGATTCGAGTTCCAAAACCATCTAAAAATGATATGGTCCTTCATTTCCTTTTTTTCTCTATTTCTTCTACTTATTTTAGGAGCACTATCACTACCTTTACAAGGCTATGCTTAGCCTGGTTAGCAGTAAAGACTTCAGACTTGGCTTCAGCTACATGGATGCTGGGACAGTGGTAACGGATGAATCCAACCCGGCTGAGAGCATGGAGTCCTTGGTGTGATGTTTCCAGAAAATGAAATGGAACAAAGTAGTTCCTTGAACTTTCCATGAGGCCTTTTTCCCCAGACTCTTGGTGAAATGAAAAGAAAAAAAAACAACAACAACAAAAAATAGCTTTTATATACTGATAAAAATAAATTCTTTTGATATTTATTTTTGCTGCTTTTTGTTATCCTGCTGAGCGCCACAAACTGCTCTCCAAAACATGTGCACACAGACACACACACACACCGTCTACTTTGCACTACACTGTCAGTGTTACAACTTGATGCCTAGCTGATTATTGATAATTGTGTTGAAACCGTTTCCGAGTATCACTTTATTCTTGACGATAAAGTCTTCAGACGTGAGGGTGATCAGCGACAGCAAATTAACACACACATCAGCCTCACACCCATGAAAACTGTACACAGAAAAGCTCCAACTTAATGCTCATCATGATGCGACTTTTAACCGTCAAGCATTGTGATTTGTTAGATTACTATGTTCTTTTTTTATTTATTAAGATATGCCATTTTATGTCTAACTTATATACATTATTTCAGTGTGGTATCATAACAGCAACTGTGAACATATATTGTTATCAGTAGCATTTCTATGGTTTTGTAATATATAAAGATATTGATCAAAAAATCTCATCTTGCTTCCTTCATTTCAGTTGTCATGTTTTCTATGGGCATGCTCAATACTTTCTCCAACAGGTATTTTCCTGAAAAAAGATGACTGTGATTGTTCTGTTTACACTGGTATTCAGGGACGGGTGGTTTAGATCGTACCAATCAGACCATTACTATTTTGTCTTTTTGAGCAGAGAAAAATCTAGATAACGTCGGTAAATTATGGAGTGCCACAAGGATCTGTGTTGGGCCCGCTGCTATTTTCAATAAATTCTGATTAAATGATTCCATAAATGATTAGGACATAAAACTGAGAATTTGTTTGAGGAAGGGATGAAATACTGTAAAATAGTAAAACTACTCCACTTAAAAATACTTGATAAGTGTTTAAATATTAAATGCTGGTGTATAGTCAATGAAATAACGCCAATAAAGATACTCACCTGATACACAGATGGATCTTATTGTTGAACAATATGGATCAACATTGTGAGATTTTTTTTTTATTCCCATTAAAATTCTCATGTATAGTCAAAGGAACTCGGATGAAGATAATCACCTCATACACAGATGGAAGTTAGTGTTGCTTTGACCATTAACCAGTATAATTTAACACATATTACAACTCTTTAATGTTTTGCTTTTAACAATCACAAATGAAAAAAAAATAACGTTATATATAGGATTATTCCTACTATGCAGTTCATATTCATGTCCCCATTAAAAAAATGGAAACACGCAACTTATTTGGAACTTTTCCAGTTTTAAGCCAAACATAGGCCTAGTCTTAAAAAAAATCAAGCTGATAATAACTCGCCTTAACATGAAAATTTGCTTTTTGTGATAGTTGATGGCACCCATTGACTTCCATAGTATGTTTTTTCCTACTATGCAAGTTAATAGGTGTCTTTAACTGTCTGGTTACCAACATTCTTTAAAATATCTTCTTTTGTGTTCAACAGAAGAAACAAACTCATACAGGTTTGGTATAACATAAGTGTGATTAAATGATGACCGCATTTTCATTTTAGGGTGAACTATTCCTTTAAGTAGAAAATTGAAAAACTTCAGGGAATACAAAAATATAAGACAGATCTAGACCAACACTATTGCACTGTAACTTCTATTCACACATCATTGTGCGTCAAGTAAATAGCATGGATATTATACTCATTTCTACCACTAGGAGCACTATATCTCTGGGAACAGTCCACTAATACACAGGTAACGGGCGCTTTTGCTTTACTCGGTAATGTGTTTTTGTTGCACAAATGACCGTCATCTCTGTGGCAGCTACATTGTTTAGAAATAACATTTGTTATTATTACATTGTATGCATATATATTCAAGCAAAGCAAACATGATGGCATACCAACAATGTTTATTTTCCCCTTCTCTCTACCCGTGCACATGTAAAATTGAGCTCGCCCACGTGTGACGTATTTCCTTCATGACTATGTGATGCCATCTTGCTACGAAAATAGTGTCGCATGAGTTGTATGATACGGAATATTATTGTCTTACTTTGATATACAAATACGGCGTTATTTTGTATTATTCGTATTAGACTAGAAACGAACACTGTTCAGAGTATCGTTCTCCGTGAGCGTTGTGTTTACTGGTTCATTCATTGATCCTAACAGTCACATTTCTTTTTCTGAACGAGGAGCGTGGTGGCGCTAACAAAGGAATATCTGGATCCGAGCAGTTGTTCATTGGTAGGGTTAATTGTATTCTTTTCATTATAATACGCACACGACTATGTATTTACACCGCATATCGACCTATTAGTTGTCGGTTGAGGGAGGCAGTATTTTACTGTTGCTTAGCAATAATGATTCGCGAGTTGTTCGCAAGCGCTATGTACTGAAGTCGCGCGCACGTCCGTCAGCTCACATTACAAGTAGCTGTAAGATTTTGATTCACCCAGATGACTCGATTCTTTTGAACCAGTTCACTATAAAGATTCATTCAGTGACACTTTTGCTATTTACATCGTAATGACAAATGTCCTCTCTGCGGCTTACAAGTGGAAACACTACTTAATTCCATATTAAAATTACTCTCTACAATTCTACCAAGAAAATGTTTAATACAGATCTGTCAATTTAACAATAATCCACATTTCGATTTTCAATAACAAACGTTGTCTCGTTCAGTTCCGTTTTGACTTTCACAATCAAAACACTGACTCTTTCAGGGAAGGGGCGTGGTCGTTCCGCGGTCCAACCAATGATATTGATCCTTCACAGCCCGGACTTGATTGCTATTGGTTCACTATAGACAGTCAGTCTTTGAAGACAGGATAACAGTCGAAGATACCCCCACCAGAACAATTCGATCAAAACAATTCTTTCACGATGGAAGAATCGCCACAAATTACATTTACTTACCAACAGCTCGACTCAGGAGAGATGGCCGAGATGTACATTCGCGTCGCGGAGGAGGAGAACGAGGAGCCGATGGAGATCCCGTCGGAGGACGACGGCACGGTGCTGCTGTCCACGGTGGCCGCTCAGTTTCCAGGGGCTTGTGGCCTGCGCTTCCGGAGCCCGGTGTCTCAGTGTATGAGGGGGGTTCGCTTGGTGGAAGGAATCCTGCACGCCCCCGAGAACGGCTGGGGAAACCTGGTCTATGTGGTCAATTACCCCAAGGGTACGTTTTATGTTCACTTACAAGAGGCCTCGGAGGTACCTCATATAAATATGAGAGGTTTTGAGAAACATTCTAATAATGGTCAAATGGTCTTTATAACTTTCCCCCCTCGAAAGCAAAATAGCTCCTTCGTCATTGTGTGCATATTCGGGTTGATTTAGGCATGTGCTTGTATAATTTAAAGGGATAGTTCACCCAAAAATGAAAATTCTGTCAGTAATTACTCACCCTCATGTTGTTCCAACCCCATAAGACCTTCGTTCATCTTTGGAATACGAATTAAGATATTTTTGATGAAATCTGAGAGCTGGATCACTCATCCATACTCCATACATACAAGTATTTAATATTTAAAAATTTATTTTAAGTGGAGTTGTTTTACTTCAGTATTTCACCCCTTCCTCAAACAAATTCTCAGTTTTATGTCCTAATATTTTATGTAATCATTTAATCGGAATTTTAATTTATTGAAAATAGCAGAGGGCCTAACACAGATCCTTGTGGCACTCCATAATTTACTATTTTTATCTAGATTTTTCTTTGTTCATAAAGTTATTAAAGATATAGTTAAAATAGTCCAAGTGACTACAGTGGCTCAATCTTAAGTTTATCAAGCGGCAAGAATATTTTTTGTGTGCTAAAAAACAAACATAAATAACTTTATTTCAACTATTCACTTCTTTCTCTTTGCACCTCTAGTCAGTTAAACTAGTGTAATTGCGTAGAGCTACATCACACATAGGGTCACTATTGGCCGATGCTGGTCATGTGTGTGATGCGTGTGGCGTACAACCGAGTAACACTAGTAACCCGAGTTAGGGGTTAATTCGTGTTCGAAGATGAACGAAGGTTTTACGGGGTTGGAAAAACATGAGGGTACTGACAGAATTGTAATTTTTGGGTGAACTATCCCTTTAACACTAAGGTTATGTCATAACCATAGTTGAGCACATTTGGGTGTTGCAAACATGTTCTTCAGTATTTCTATTGTCTATTATTAGCTATAAAAATGCAGTGCATTTTGATTCAATGGGGTTATTTTAGTCGCATGAATGGTTTGGATATGTAAACATGTAACAAGTGAACTTTTCTACTCTAGAAACGGCTCTGCCAGATAATAAGAGGAAGATGGATGAGATTGATGCTTCTTCTGCAACAAAGATCAAGAGAGGAGATCAGAAGACTTCAGATCTGATTGTGTTGGGTCTGCCATGGAAAACTACAGAACAAGACTTAAAAGAATACTTCAGTACGTTTGGAGAAGTCATCATGGTGCAGGTAAAACTTACTGATATAAAAATATGATGTGATCTTCTTTGTACTGTCATATTTTGGTAAAAGCTATCCAGCTATTAAAAATAGAACTGTACTCGACTGTCATTCTTGAAGTCAGATTAGATCTGGTATGAATTCAGTTCTTGATTCTGCTACACTAGGTCAAGCGGGACGTAAAGACGGGAAATTCAAAGGGGTTTGGGTTTGTAAGGTTTGGTGACTGGGAGACTCAGGGTAAGGTGATGTCGCAGCGGCACATGATTGACGGCAGGTGGTGTGACTGCAAACTACCCAACTCTAAGGTTAGTGTCTTTTTTTTCCATTTTAAAGTTTGGGGTTCATTTTTTTTTTTTTTTTTTTTTATGTTTTTGAATATGGCTCACCAAGTCTGTAAACAGTAATATTGTGAAATTAAATGTTCAAAAATTGTAATGTTTTCCTGTGATGGCAAAGCTGAATTTTCAGCATCATCACTCTAGCCTTCAGTGTCACATAAAATCATTTTGATTTGCTGCTCAAGAAATTTGAGTCTAATTATCATCTATATTTTTGTGGAAACCATGACACCTTTAAAATCCATTTTGTTACATTTATAATTGTCTTTACTTTGGCCAATTTACTTTACAGACTTTTGAATGATTAGAGCTGCACAATTTATCGTTTAAAGACTGCAATCAACAATTCACCTGTGTCTATTAAACCTTTGATGCATAACACTGGAACATTTAAGTCTGTTTTGGTGCTTCCGCTGAGCCAGAGGGAGCAGATGTTGAACTTGGCACTTCAAATAACACTTACTATATCAGTTGCATCTTTACACCACCAGGTGGTGACAAGTGACTGTTAAAAAAAGTGTCACTGAATCATTCATTAAACGGATTCGTTTTAAAACGCTGATTCAACAGGAAATGATTCATTCATTCAAACACTGTTTTTTGAATTGTTCAGATTAATTAAAGCTTTTTAGGGTGAAAAATGATCCAAAATACATTTTTGAACAAATACATAACCAGCCAGTGTTCAAAACTCTCTGCTTGCCTTAGCTCGATGCAAAGCGGTCACATCTCGCGTAAAGCTGATAATTCCGCGAATGACTGCAATTGCAGATTTCGAACAGAAATAGCGACAAAGAGGAAAAACTGCGGACTGCAGCTTTAAGCTATTTAAATAGACTGCAGCAATTAACATTTTGTAAGAACCTCTTGTAAATTATGTTTTGTTTTCTATTCAGAATCGTGATCTCTATTTTAAATTTATTCATTCAGAATTGTGCAGCTCTATTGTATATGATAAATTGCTGCTTTTCATCAATTAGCCATTTATAAATGAAGTGTCAGGTATTCACCTTTTAGGGTGCTAAACAAATTTGTGTCTGAACATTTAACAGCAAGGTCCAGATGAACCAATGAGGAGCAGGAAAGTATTTGTGGGCCGTTGCACAGAGGACATGAGCGCTGATGAGCTCCGTCAGTTCTTCATGCAATATGGGGAGGTCACAGATGTCTTCATACCTAAACCATTCAGAGCGTTCGCTTTCGTCACCTTTGCAGATGACCAGGTAAGCTATGTTTTTTTTCCTCATTAATTGGACATTGGAGGTCTCATAATGTACATTGCAGGATCAGTGTCTGAAATGTCATACAACCCAGTCTGTTGTGATTGGTGTGGAAACAAAACTCCCATTACCATATCTGAATTTCAGCTCTGGATCTTTCTTAGCACCTGCATACACGTTGACACAAACAGCAATGATGCAGTCGTTTTTACCGAATCAATTCGAACCCTAGTCCTCATCCTTAGGAAGTGCAAATGCAAAGTGGTTTTGCTTTTGCAGAGTAGAAAACAGTGTCTTCTCAACATGTCTACAACACGAACCAAACTCCACTTTTAGGTGATGATAACCCAGATATAGGATAAAGACCTGTTCACAATAAACAAACCTAAACTATAACTATAAAATAAAAATAATGCAAGATACAGGCCACGTGGCTAGATTAATTTGCTCTTTGTCTGAATACGTTCATAGGAATGCGTTTCAATTCAAGGTCTTGTTTGTGGAGATTTTTCTATTAGTATGAGAATTCCCGTCTACTTTTTCAGCATTCAGGAGTTTGTTTAATATTTTATTCTGGATGGATGAATCACCCGTTATTTGGTCATATTTTTCATCTTTCCTCCAGGTTGCCGCTTCCCTGTGTGGAGAAGATCTGATCATCAAGGGCATCAGCGTGCACATCTCCAATGCTGAGCCAAAACACAACAACACTAGGCAGATGATGGAGCGGGCAGGGCGCTTTGGGAATGGGTTCGGAGGTCAGGGTTTTGGAGCCAACCGCAGTGGCATGGGTGGTAGTAGCTCCAGCAGCTTGGGAAATTTCAACAATTTCAATCTCAACCCAGCCATGATGGCTGCCGCCCAGGCCGCCCTGCAGAGCAGTTGGGGTATGATGGGAATGTTAGCACAGCAGAATCAGTCAGGTGCGTCTGGCACTAGCACGAGCGGCACTAGCGCCCCTCGGGACCAGCCCCAAGCGTACAGCTCAGGGAACAGCAACTACAGCAGCTCGGCTGCTCTCGGCTGGGGCTCCGGCTCGAACTCCACCACAGGTGGTAGTGGGTTTAACTCCAGCTTTGGCTCTGGTATGGAGTCTAAGTCGTCAGGGTGGGGTATGTAAATTGGTTTGTGTTTGAAGTGTTGTATTTCTAGCGCGTTTGGTAAGTATTTTCCGAGAGACTTATCTTGTCACGTGTGTTTGGGAGCGGGGATGGGTGAAAAGGGAGACAGGGGGGCAAAAAAAGACGAATGTTTTTTACTTTGAATGGAATTTAAATTAGTTTAGAGTGAGATGTTAACCAAGGAGCTACGTTAATGTACCATCTTTGGAATTATGTTTTTTTCCCCCCCAATGTTGTATTGTCTTGGTCGATGCAAACTAAGCATTTCAACTGGATTCTTGTAATGCATGCTGTTCAATCTGTGGATGTCTGAAAATGCATGAGAATTGCATAACCCTTAAAGTACATTTATCATTATTTAAAGACATTTGCATTGGAAAGAATCTGGTTGAAACCTGAACATATTGTAAATTGAGCTTTATGATTCAGTCCAGTTTTATGGAAACCCTTTAAAACAAGCCTTCATCAAAATCTCTTCTGCAGTTGACATCTGTGGGGTTTGCCAGGGAAGAGCGCCCTCTATGGCAGCACAGTGTGGCTGAGGTCATTATGTCACCTTCCTCCCCATGTCTATATGCTCTCATCGCACGGCTCGATGACACGGTGGGTGTCTCCTTTTTCTTAATCCACTTTTTAAGACAAGAAGTGCGCAAAAAGTGACGTTTTTAAACAACCCTTGAGTGCGATTGGTGATATGGCGAAGAGTGAGAAGGCTGCGAGTGAGCGAAGGAAGTGTGGAGCGCACGAACGAAAAGACTTGCGAGTGCGATGAACGAGCCGAAATGTGACTGCAGTGGGTGGGTTTGGTGAGCGAGTGAATGAGAGCTGCTGACACTTCCCAGCTTTCCCCTTAATTGAGCCCAAATTGACAGACATTTTGTGTAAATCAAAGATTTTTTTTTTTTATTTAAATTTTTTTTTTTTTTTGGTCTCCCTAGGTTCCCTTTTGCTTTTCTCCTTTAGTATACTGACATGTGCTTATATAGTTAGTGGAATGTTGTGATGATGATGATGACGATGCATACTTTGTCTTGCTTCTATAATCCCATCTGAATGCTGTATGGTGTGTGTGCTTTTTTTTCCTTGTAACTTGACCTGTAAGTGTGAGCTTTGATATGGATGACATCTTCAGTGGACACTGAGGGGGGAAAACATGAGTGATGGTGTAAGTGCGACCTGTATGTTGAGTGCTGTGGATGTTTGTGGAGTTTTCCTCTAGATAACGTTGCTCAGTGTTTTCAAAGGCATTTTATATGACTTGTCAAATGAAGGGAGTGCTTCAATAAAACTAATTTGAATAGATTGCCATTTTCTCATACTGGTTTGTCACGTGATGTTTAAAAGCAAATACCACACAACTAATTGAATTCACACATTTAGGGGCCTGGAATATGGCTGGTCGCAACTGAACCCTAGGCGGGAAGTCCGTTTGGGGATGGAGGAAGATGATGGAGGATGCTGTGGTTCTGCATCTCTGGTTACGGCAATGGACACGGTAGACCGTAGCAGAATTTGATAGGTGCTTCCAGATGAGGTGTTAACTCAAAACACTTCAAGCATAATAACATTTCTATCTGAAAAGCTGAGATGGTATTAGGCTTGATTGTGTTTGGTTTTGAGAAAGCAGTTTGTTGTATTCTAATGCAGGCATAGGTTTTTCAGGTCCATGTTTTTTTTTTTTAAATGTTTGAATTAAAATATTTTAGAGCATCTGTATTGTTTCACAGAGTTTCATATTCCCAAGAAAGTCGTGTTTATAGGAATCTTTATTACAATAAAACACAAATGAACTCCCTGAGTATAAAAACATTATTGGTGTTAAGTATTTAATGTGATTTATGTACAAATATTTGCACAGCTGTTTTATTACATGCAAAAAACAAGTACTTTTGTGCAACTTAAAAAAAAATGTGAATTTCGTACATTTCTTTTGATCAGTCTTCAACCTCGTTCTCCTCCTCAGCTTCCATGTCTTTACTCTTCCTCTTGGCAGCGTTCTTCTTTCGTTTCTCCTTCAATTCTTGGTTGTTCAAAGCCAGTTCTTCACTTTTCTTCGTAATGTAGTTGTACTGTAAGGATAAAGCAAGTGCACAGTATTTTTCTCATTACTAGTAAATATTTTGTATTACATGAGCACTTGGCAGAATGTTCAGTTATTTAGAGGTATCTTAAAATAAATATTTTTAGTTAGTTAAATTTAATCATGTATAAAGTTGACAATTACGTTGTACTTAGACAGTTACTGAGTAATATTAACTACATGTACATATAGTAAATACGTGTAACTATGACATCTTAAAATAAAGTGTTACCCTTTGCAATGTTAAATTAGATTTTCCTAAACAGTCACGAAATACCCACTTATATACCCAAGCATTATACATTATTTTAAATATCAAAATTTAGGCCTGGTTTCACAGACAGGGTTTAGACTACTGGGATGAGGCCATAATTCAATCATAACATAATTCTTTTAGAAATGTGTCTTAGAAAATAAACATTACTGGTGTGCATCTTGAGACAAAATAGCACTGACATATTTTCAGAAATTTCAGTGCACGTTGTTTCCAGTTGAAACGGCTCAGTAATGCATTTTAACCAGGGATTAGGCTTTAGACTTGTCTGTGAAACCAGGGGTAACGTTACATGGCTTCCGAAGCTTGGCATAAAATATCTAGAGGTAAGCAACAGGACGAGAGAGTGAATAAATGCTTACAAGACCTTTGAAAATGTTTAACTTCCTTTTTTACAATGTCATTTTTCATTGTTGGGTGGGACCTGGCAAATTGTTTGCACAAAAAAGGTAATACGTTTCATATCTGAAATGATCCTACCAGTGCTGTGGTTCTTCTCGCTGTCAGCTTCACATCATCCATTGTAACTGTGTGTCTTTTAGCATGCCTGCAAACATTCAATATATGCCTCAGCGCAAATAAAATATCTTTATGTGATAAATATAAAGGAAAACCAACTTTTGCACCAAGTTTACCTTGCAAACGCTTCCAAGTCCTTGGCAAATATATCTGGAGAGGTTAGAAACATTCTTGAATAAATATCATGTTAAATCCTTCCGAAATATGAATGTCACAAGGCCCCATCTTACCACATTGTCTGAACGCAGTCTCTGCAATCGCTGCTATTGTCTGTTTGGTGATTTGTTTCTCGCAGTCTGCAGCGATGTGTTGACAGAGAGAGCCGACAGTGTAGTGAACGGCAGCTTTAAGCCTCTAAAGAACATAAATACCGTCAACATGACAAGATAAAACCTGAACACTTCTTTGCAATCAATGTGCATAATAAGTTATAACCTGTGTTTGTGCCTCGTCCTCGTCCATTTTCATTGGATAACTAAGCTGAAGCTCAACTTTATTTTTTTAGCCATTCACAATTAAAAATTGCGCGAATTATGAGTTCTTCTTCACGTTGTATAACCAGTTTATTATCGCCCTAACAGCGCCTCCTGCTGACGTGGAGTGAATGTCATCAAAGTCCATTTTATTGTCTCTGATGTCATACACGATTATTCACTTAAACACGAAAATTCTGTCATCATTTACTCACCCTCAAGTAAAATAAATCCATATGAATTTATTTCCAGAACTGTTCGGTTACCAACATTCATCTTCTAAATATCTTCAATTCATACATCTTTGAAACAAGTTGAGGGTGAGTAAATGATGACAGATTTTCATTTTCGGGTGAACTATGCCTTTAAAGGAGTAGTTCACTTAAAAAAAAAACTTATGCTGATAATTTACTCACCCCCATGTCATCCAAGATATCCATGCCTTTCTTTCTTCAGTCGAAAAGAAATTAAGGTTTTTGATTTCAGACGATAAAATAAAGGTCTTATTAAGTGAAACGATCGCTCATTTAAATAAAATCGTTCGTGACTCTCCTGTTCGAACTCGTTTATCAAAACGAACAAATCTTTTTCGTGTCATTTGGTTCATTCAACGAACGAAATGAACAAATTGACTCGGATAAAGATTCGTTCATTTTGATGAACGAGTTCGAACAGGAGAGTCACAAGCGCACATCACCGGAACAGAGCAAGGCGACCATTTGAGCTTAAAACTTAAACTTTGTTAATAATTTTTTTAATGACTGATCGTTTCGCTTGCTAAGACCCTTATTCATCGTCTGGAATCGTTTAAAGCCCTTTGAACAGTTTGCAGTTTGCACTGAAATTGTCTTTTGGACCTTGAACCGTTTGTTTACCACTGGAGTGCATTATATGGAGAAAAATCCTGGAAAGTTTTCATCAAAAACCTCAATTTCTTTTCGAATTAAGAAAGAAGGACATGGAAATCTTGGATGACATGGGGGTGAGTAAATTATCAGAAATTTTTTTTTGATGTTGTTTTTATTTTTTTATTTTTAAGTGAACTACTTCAAGGCCCGGTTTCACACTTACCAAAAAACAAAACAAAAAAAACAATAGGCTAACGTTACTGGTGTGCAATATTGGATAAATCTCTTGATAAAACAATGGCACATACATATTTTAAGATGTGTCACTCAGGCTACAAGTTGCGTTCAGTTAAAACTGCTCAATTTCCATTTTAGTCTGGCACTTGGCTGCCTTTGTCTGTGAAACTGACCAAAAAAAAAAAAGAAAATGTGTTTATTTTATGAATAGCTCTTTGATATCTGACTGTCACAAGGGAAGTTTGTTGCTTCCCTACAACTAAAGCATACTGTGTTAGGGTTGGTTGACCGAGTTGTACACCATTATAAGTAACAAAATAGGGGAACTGCGCCAAGCCGCCAACGTCAAATATTTGTTCAGAACTTTAAATCAATGTGAATATCAAAAGAAGACTACACTCCGCCTTAAGAGACACTCCTTAATATATTTTTTATTGTTTTTATTTATTTATTTTATCTGAAAATGACATGTTCTTAACCAATATATATATATATATATATATATATATATATATATATATATATTACTCACAAGAAAAGTGTCTTCCTCCTTCTAGTGTGTCCATTCCTCTCAATGCACTTAGGTTTTGCAACTGTGATTTACTTTTTCATTTCTTTTTGAAAATGTATGTTGACTCGATTGAGAATGGATTAATGCAGTTTGTATGTTATTCTTCTTCAATAAACATGACAACAATTTCAGTACAACACAATAATTCACGCTGTTCTTTTGTAGGTTTGCTTGCAGATCTGGTCTTCACATGTAAGTTCCTTAAAGGAAGAGTATAAAAATTATTTTCATTTTTTTTTTATTTGGTATTTGTAGTCATTTGATCTGAAAATCACATGCTATTGAATATTTTATTTGACTCACAAGGAAAAGCGTGTCTCCCTCCATCCAGTGTGTCCATCCTCTGTTCTTTTTCTCTCCTTTCTGGACACACACAAGTTTGTCGTTGTCCCAGTTGACTGTTGTCTGTAGAAAAAAAAAAAAACAAGCAGTATTACTCAAAACGCTACCTATCTAGTGTGTGTGTGTGTGTGTGTGTCCTGGTAAACCACATCAGGACAAATTGGTTTGGTCCCCATAAGGAAAACAGCTTATAAATCATACTAAGTGATGTTTTTTTATTTCTGTGATGGGTTCAGGGGTCGGGTTAGTGTAATGGGGTAGAATATAAAATTTATTTAAAATTATTATGCCTTTGGAGAGTCCCCACCAAGATAGCGAATCAGATGTGTGTGTGTGAGTGTGTGTTCTTACCTGGCATTTTCGGTTGTCCAGTCCTTTGGTGATTTCCTCAAACTCTTCTCCAATTTTGAACGAAGTAGAGTAGTTACGGAAAGTTGTTAAAGTTTTAACAGTAAAAGAATCTCCGTCTTGCTCAAAAATCTTCTGTGGCTTTAGCATCCCTGCTATCTTTCGGGTGGCAAAATCAATTTCTGCATTACATAGAGCATATTCTTAGTAAATATACTCACAATACCAGTTCCTCTTAATACATATAAAATGTTGAAATAACTCAACAATTTACTTAAAAATATTAAAATCCTGAGAAATTAATGACATTACTCACCGAGAGCAACCATGTAACCTTCAAAGTTGGCATTGTCCACTATGTCCCAGGTTCCAGTATAGTTTGCAGGCATGCTTGATGTCGACCCTGAAGCGTTTCTGTGAGTTCTGGCTACTGTATGAACCTAGAAAGTGGAATTTAAGTGTACATGTGTGGAAATGAGAGAAGCAGATGTGCTGTGTCGTATTTCAGCAGGTCTGTGTAATATGGGGCAGGGGTGATGTGGCACAAAGGCTATTTTAGAGGCCTGGCCAATATTGCTGTTCTCTGAGGCGGAACTTAACTTTTACACACTGCTGCTTGCGTCCCGTGGGAATTCAAAGAGAACAATGTAATTCAAAAGACTCATGTTGCTTTGGCAGTGGACTGATCTGTAGGGAGTAAACAGTTTGGCAAAAATTTAGCAATGTCATAAAACTCCCTTATGGTTTGAGATGATTCATTTTGTTTTAGATTTGTATTAACAATGTGGCAATGGCTTTAAATAACTTCTGGTATACTGATTTATATATACAGCATATTTTTTCCCTCTGTTTTTCTACTCTATTGTCTTAGAAGAAAATATTCTAAACCTTAAGATTTCTGCTGCTGCTTCAACTTTTCGGTCACGGGATCATTCTATGGATTTAGGTTTTTCATTTATTTTTTTATTTTAACTAGATTTTATGAATGAAACAGCTTGTAAACATACTTTAGAAATAAAAATTGTAATATCCCATTAAACATGAAAGTATTATGCAATCATGTAAGACATTTCTCCTTATACTGTAGAACTTTTTCGGCATAAAGAGTTCTTTAAAATTGAACCAAGAAACCCATCGGATTCTATATTGAATCCCTCTGAAGCTTTTTTTAAGAGTGTATTTTCTAAAAAGCAACAGACAGTTGGAAATGACGGGTGTGTTTTTTTAACTCATCTCATCTTTTCTCGACCCGCTCTGCTTGAGAAGTCATTGACGTGGATTTAGTTCTCATTTGGGAATTGGGACTTGGAATTCATCTGTTTTAGAGTTAACGTTGAAATTTCAGTTACTCAATGTGAGTGTGGGCTGTGAAGGCTTAAAAAAATGTAAACAACTTTTAAAGTCTTCTGTGATGAACAGACCAAAATGATTAATTTTAAATAATTATTTAATTATTATTTTATGGAAAAATCTTAATGAAACAGTCATTAAACATAAAAGTATCGGGCTATTATTATTTCTCTCTCTTTCATGATTATTTTAACGTCTTTGCGGTGTTGAACGATATAGATTTACTGTGGAACAATATTTTATTATAAGCCAATACGTTTTATATAATATTCAGATCACTTAAACAAAAATAACAACCTCTTCGTGACTGAAAGTCACAGAAAAAATATTCTAATCCATAATTTGACATCTCGAAATTACTATACCAAGCCTCAGCACTAGGCGGCGCCATTTTATACAACCCGATAGACAGAGGATCTCTCTTCTTTCCGAGAGCTTCTAACCTGCGATGTTCTGACTGAACTTTCTGGTAAATCCTGTAATTCTTCTATCAATTTTCTGTCCTGACATTTATACCTGACTATAGTGTTTATCCTAAGAATGTTTCAGTAAGATACCTTTGAGTGTCTTAAATAATTTTCTCTAACGTTTGTTGTACGTCTTGCTAAAGAAAGTGTCGGCTAATCATCTGAGGGGATATAAACTGCACAATGCTTCACCACTTCTTAGTCCATACAGCTTTTCAGACCAGCAGGTGGCTTCCAAGAGAACAAAGGTTGAAATTGTAAGTTAACAAAACTAACTATCTATCTATCTATCTATCTATCTATCTATCTATCTATCTATCTATCTATCTATCTATCTATCTATCTATCTATCTATCTATCTATCTATCTATCTATCTGTCTCTCTGTCTGTCTGTCTGTCTGTCTGTCTGTCGTCTGTCTACATAATTGGTAAGTAAATAAAATTGTAAATAAGCAGATGCTAAACACTATTTAATGTATTTTTCTGCTGCAAAGCTTCATTTGTGTGTGTTTGTGTTTTATACTTATACTGTAAATGATTTATTTAGCATATTTGTTCTGCTCTCTAATTTTAAATCTCTTCTCATTTAAGGTTTGGCTGTAGCACTTACACTCACAGACCCAGTTCCCAAGAGCATCAGGGTAGCTTTTCACTCTTTTGGGCTGTTCGCATTTATGCATGGACTCTGTACATTCATTTTTACCATGACTGCACCTCAGTGTGTAAGTGTGAAATATAGTAATATGATTTTATGTGCAAAAATAGTTTTACCTTAATATAGTCACAGTTTATTTTTCTCAGGTGAACACCACCACAGAATTGTATATATTTTCTTTGGTAGTGTCTTGGGCCTGCATACTCTCAACAGGTGAGATCATACAGTGTTTGGTCAGTTCCATTTCAAGAAGGACAATATATATATATATATATAAAGGACAAAATAACCATTGTTTTTCTTGTGTCTCTACCCAGTTTTCTTTCTGGTCAGAGGAGGTCTTTGCCTGATCCACAGACTGTTTCCTCATTGGCTGAGAGATACATCCCTCTGGGGTTGAAAATGATCTACTGACACTCAATACAGGTGCATCTATTATTTACAGTGTCAATGGTTTTCAGACAGTTGTGGGGTGCAGGTTAGGAGGTATTCTATTTAATGACAATATTAGCATGCAGGGGAGGAGAAAAATGCATATACAAATTATTTATGTAATTTTTTATGAAAACTTAAACTGTTTACAGTCCACATTTGTGGGTTATATCTTAATCCAGATGTGTTAGAAGAGAAAAAAATAAAACACAGATGATTTCAAAAATATATTTTATTGTATGCATCAAAACCAGCACCAAATATTAAATGATTTATGTGATGCCATGTAATACAGATGAATACCATAACAAAATTTCCTTAAAATATAATGGAAAAGTAAGACTTTATTCAAAAATGTCAATGCAAAAATGTCAACCTGTCAGCGAGACACATACTTTGTTGTAATACACAGAGTGTATTTTTTTTTTTTTTTTGAAAAATCAAAACACATTTTGTTTTGAAAACCAATTAATCTATTTAAAATGGTGTAAATACACAGAAGGACTTCAATGTATGATTTCAAAACCCAGTGCATTTATTTAAATGTTTTATTAACATTTTCACATTAGATCCCTGTGGAATGTAATGTTCTGCTTCACTACAAAATTTTAGCCAAAATCAACACCTATGAATCAGACAATGCTGATTCATTAACAAAAGTGTTTCCTAAAGCATGCGATTCTAACTATTCTTAGAATTCAAACCGCACTTAACAAAGGCATTCATGTGTATATACAAAGTTTTTAAGGCGTTATGACATTTGGACTGCTCTACACAAAATAAACCATTGTTTTCTGAGGTATGACAAAAATCTTTAACACTATACACTGTCAAAAATGTGGTTCTGGGATGCTTTTATAAAGCAAGCCAACAATGGAAACTCAATTCAGTCTAAAGATGAAACATTGACATTTGTTCCATCATGATTACACTGGATGTGCAATCTTATAGACATGTTAGGACTTCTTAACCTGAGGTCTGAGATGAATTTCACCATTTAATTGAACCCTTTGAATTGAGGAAGAAAAATATTCTAAATTCATCTGGTTGTTTACTCATGGTAACATGGTGTTTTCATCTCAAATTTAATCTGGTGATCTGATAAATAATTGTTTGAGCTAATGCAATTATGTAGTAAGCAAAGTAAAAAAGAAAAGTCAAATTACAGAGCATTTAAATTTGTTTTATCTGATCACTGATTGGTCACAAATGTGGAAAAAGTGCTTGATCTGGAATTACATTTTTCATACGCATCTTCTTAATTGCTTTCTCAACAGTCTGATCTTGTGGAATAAGGATTTGTAGCAATAAAAGATTAATTATTACTTTAAGCTAAAAGAGGTCCTGAGATTTAAAATTGTTAGTTGTTTATAATTCAATAATTTCATAACACAAATCAAATTGCAAAGTCAAAGCATTAAAATAACTCTCACACAATTCACACTTCATTGTGAAAATTAAACTTCAAATGATATTTTGCAATCATCCACAATACAGCATTCAATTTGAGCTATAAGCCCATTCATTGACCCATATGTCCTGGTCTATCCTAACAGTGCATCATAGTCAATGTACCATATAAGAGTCCCGCTCTTTGGCTGGACTTTGGTGATGGGATACTTAGATGATTCCCCCTTAATTCGGCTGAGTTGACTGACTAGTTCATGCTTGCTCTTCCCCATAATTAAAACACCTACCCTTCGAGCTCTATTGATAGCTGTGAATGTGAGACTCATCCTCTGATGAGGTTTATTGGGGCTCTCTGACAGAGTTACCAACCGTTCTCCGTCGCTTTCCAACTTGGTGTCCTGGAACAACGAGGCAGTGTGGCCGTCCTGGCCTACGCCGAGCAGGATGTAGTGGAAGCTGGAGGCATTGACATGTTTCTTTATCTCCTTCTCATATAATGCAGGACCACCATCCTCTTCCACGCATAACCGTTGGGTGAGATGCACTGGCATGGGGTGGATGTTGAAGTAGGGTATGCGGATATGCTGAAGCAGCAGATCGTGAATGGACCGGAAGTTGGAGCCAGATTCTGTATGTGGCACACATCGCTCGTCCACTTGCCATATGTGAGTGTTGCGCCACGGAAAGGTGTAGAGGTTCAGGGCAAGCGCACGGAGCAGCGCCACCGGGCTGGAGCCACCAGACAACGCCAGGTGAAACTGACCTCCTTCATGAATGGCCTCCTCAGCAGCCAGAAGAAGATCAGAAGCCAAGCGCTCCACCAGTTCCTGTGGCCAAGCAGATATCATTTCAGAACTACGGTACTTCCCTTGCATCACCTGGAAGTTGTCTTCGGCACCGGGGTTGATCACATTGACCAAAGCTTCATGGCTAAAGGCCACCTGATTGCCCAGCAGATGAAAGTTCAGCAGGTTCCCATTGGCCACGCCACCAGGATACACTCGTGGAAAGACCCGAGTCAAGCTTTCAAGGAGAGGCGTCCAAAACGCCCAGGAAGCAAGGAGTCCTTCAGCACTGATAAAGCTGTCCTTGCGTCCAAAGAAGACGTGTGAGATCAGCTCGCAATAAGCCTCTCTAGGTACAACTGGCGTCTGGATGTAATAATCACTGAGGGGTAACCCCAGCACTTTTACGTCTTTCTGTTCGTTGACCTCTTTCCAGTCACCGGTGTTCACCAGCTCGGGCTTGAACAGGTTCTTGCTCACGAGAATCGCAGGGTACTGGAGGTCTCCGTGACCCAGATAAAATATGATCTGTTTGGTATTGCACTGAACATTGTTGGAATCCTGGACGCAAAATACATCATTTTTGAAAACTACACGTGCATAAGCAACCCGTTTATCAAGTGCCTTGCCTGAGGTCATAAATATGGGGATGCCCTCGTATTGCGCATTGTCGACATGAATGACCACACCTGTAAAGACAATCACAGTTACCGTAAGCATGGCCAGATTGATTTTCCACAATCAATGACGACGTTTACATTCCAGGTTTTACAAAAAGGTCATGTAAACATGAACACTATTTTTTCAAACTTTTTTAATGTGGTCAAGTAAACACACAAGCAGCATCATCATGAGTGTGCATGTGTGTGAGATAACTAAAGTAACGGACATGTGCGGATAAACATGGGTATATTTGCATATTACATGCGGAAACTAAAAAGCTCTTCCACTCACCAGCGAATGTGGGGGTTAGGCTGAAGTAGTCCTTTGTTTTATTGAGCTCTTCCTGAACCTCTCCATTGTAAGCTTGGTACTGACCTACGACCGCATTACTGTTATCTATATGCTGTAGGGAAGCCAAGAAATGTAGCTTGTTTTGTAGAATCTCCTCGCTGTTGGAGGAGTTTGCTGGAAGATTCATCAGCAAAAGGGTCATGACCTCTGTGAGGTGGTTCTGGAGCACATCTCTGATGACGCCATATTGATCATAAAACTGAATACGCCCTGTAAATGAATGACAGATCAACAATCAATGCTAAAGAAGGAGAGAGGTTTCATCGATAACATGAACCATTAACAAGCAACTCAAAACCAGTACCTTTGGCATCTAGGGTTTCCTTCAATACAATTTCTATTCTTTCAATATGGTGCTTGTTCCAAATAGGGTCCAGAAGTTTCTTATTCTCTTTCCTGAATGGCAATATTTTAGAGACAACCTTTGCAACAGAAAAAAAACCATATATATTCTTTTTAAAGCTGATATAGATCCAGTCACTCGTGTGAAATGTTTTTCTTTTGTACTTTCTATTAATCAAAAAATCCTGACAAAATATGCATTGCCGTTTTAATCAATATTTATGTTTTATTAGATCATATAAAAGCAGGCTTGGTGATCATAAGAGACTTCTTTCAAAAACTCAAAGAAACTAAATGTATGTTAATGAAATGATATGGTACCTGCTTCCCTAAATAGTGGTCAATCCTATACATCTCCTCTTCTTTCAGCTGGCCTGACAGTATTTTGTCAAGGGACTGAGCACTAAAAAAGTCGTGACCAAATGGCTTTTCCAGTACCACCCTCAGCCATGCGTCAGGAAGGGGGCGGCAGGTGTTGTTGATCTTCTCTGCAATGTCTGCATATGCAAAAGCTGGAACAGACAGGTAGAAGAGCCTCCCTGCTTCGACAATACCCTCCTGTCCTAAATGCTGTTTGATCAGCTGGCTGAGTTTTACATAGTCCTCAGATGTCTTCAGTTGGTGATACTGGGACAGACGCAAAAACTGCTCTTTGACCAAAGCACAGCGTTCAGCAGAGAGCTCCGGAGGGCAAGTCAGCTCCTTCAAGATCCCAAACAGCATCGGAGTTCCCTTCTCAGTCGGCGAAAGGCCCCCACCATAAAATGAGAAGGTGTGTCCTTTGCCTACCTGGTCAGCATAGAGCTGGAAAAATCCTTGCCACAGGTACTTCCTGGCCAAGTCACCTGTCCCACCCACAACCACCACAGTCACATGCCCAAGACTCTGCTTAGCCTCATGATTATCTGTGTGGCCTCTGTGCCAGCATATGATGGCCATTAGCAACAGCTCCCATCTTATTCTCAGCATTGTGATGTCAAGTGCCTACCTTTAAAAAAAAAAAAATAATAATAATAATAATAAAGACTTTAGGATGTTTAATAAATCCAATGATTCAAATTCTGCAAATTTGATTAAACTTAATGATTTTTAATAACAAATAATAATTTATAAAGACAAGTTATAAGGTATAAAGACAAAAAAAAGATAACCAAACCATGTAAAATTGTCATTGGTAAAACCTTTAAAGGGTTAGTTCACCCAAAAATGAAAATCAAGTCATTAATTACTCACCCCCATGCTGTACCAACCCCGTAAGACCCGGAACACAAATGAAGATATTTTGGATTAAATTTGAGAGGTGGATCACTCCTACATTGGCTCCTAAAGGATTGAAACTTGACGGCCCAGAAAGTCATTGAAGAAAATGTTTAAATATTCCATGTGACTACAGTGGCTCAACTATAAGTTTATCAAACGACGAGAATACTTTTTGTGCGGAAATAAACCAAAAATAACGACTTTATTTGACTCTTCCTTTTCTTTCCGATTTCCTCGCATGCGCGAGAATTGCGCAAGAAGTAAAAAAAAAAAATAAAGCAATTCTCACGCATGCGTCGTGGAAATCTCTTGAACTCTCGTCTCAGGCCCAGAAGGAAGAAAAGGAATAGTCGAATAAAGTCGTCGTTATTTTTGTTTTCTTACGGGGTTGTTACAGCATGGGGTTGAGTAATTAATAAAGGCACCGAATTGACTGCATTTAGAAGCTGGATTCGAAAGTTTGCTTCGTTATTTGGCATATTGACTGAGTTAATTTCCTATCTATAACTCAGCATAAAGTGAACACCTTATGCAAACACTTTTGATGATTATGATACAAACTAGCTTGAATCCTCACATAAAACATATGAAGCTGTTAACATTGTAACTAGATCGTTACAATGGGGGGATTATAATAATATCAGCTAATATATATCTGGGCCAACATATCAAGCATCACGTTGCATAATCACTGATGTCTCAACACAACAACCGTTAAGATCAGTTATAACGAGTCATATCTGCAAGTCACTGTGCCTCTGAATGCACCACAGTACATGAACTTTATGTACTCAAGAAATGAACTCATGTACTCATCTTTCTTATTTTAAAATCACTCAACTCAAAATAGTGTTAATGGAAGTTCATTAGGTGTGTGGATCTTCTTCTGTAATAATGATGAAAAATACAGTATGAGGGCCAATGGTCTATGATAAAGCCCAGGTGTGTTGGAGGATTGTATAATCTACTGACATTATTGAACTGAATGGGAATAATACATGAGAGCAAATGTAATCCCTCAGTGAGTTTTCACCCACAAAATCAAGGTTAAGCCAACAGAACAGACAACATTTACGGTAAAGAACCCGAATGAAAGGAAAGGTCACAGAATTTGGCCAAACAGAGAGGAACTGATATAAATGGTAACAATAAATTGAAACGTTGAAAATTATATTGCTGGACTCATCTTGACATATCTAACGGAAAACAAGTCAACCAGGATTAGTCTGATTACATGATAACTCATGATGAGCTTGTGTGAAGGCCAAAGATGACAGAGTACACACAGCCCTAATGTTCAGACAGAGCAAGCTCTGTTTGCGCATTTGGGTGTTGCAAATTGTCAAACATAGAGGCATCTATCCTTTTAATATATACAAAATTCATTGGAACAATCTCTAAACTATCAAATAGGCATAACAGGATGCAAAAGTTCAATGAACAGCTGCTACACAGAACTGTTGTAATTCAGTTGAACATAAACCTGTCATGATATGCATAGGTCAATTCAAGCACATAACACTATTACATATTAATTATAACTCATTATTTACACAGTGACAAGAACATGGTTTTCCCATTAAAACAAGGTAATGTTCTGGAAGATACCCTCATTAAGGAAATGTATTTTATTAAGAGATATTACTAAAGACTAACCGGATAGAAAATGATATTGACACTAAATAAGTATAATATGATTTGGACATCAAAACAATTTTAATCTATTAAAATGTATTATTCATATTATTTTAATACGTTTTAAACACAAATTAAACGTGATTATACATCGATATATTATTTTATGTTTCTGATGACAAGTACGCTAATTATGTTTTTAAATATGGAACTATTTTTTTATAAACTAGTGTACTAGAGGCGGACGTGTGTAAACTAACTATCATCACAAATTAAGTTAGATGAACAGACTCCTGGCGGCACCTGCTATACTAGCTAACTAACTAACACAGGCTTAAGACATACAAATAAAAGGACAATATCTTAAATGTCAGTGTACATATGATATCTCCAGCCATAGTGGCACATGCATTAGGACAAAGATGGATTTGACAGGGAGAGACATGGACATACCTGGTTCATCAATGGACAAATGGTGACACTTTGCGCGGCGTGGACAGGCGGATAGTGACATACTACAAACAACTCGCGTTTCCAGTAGATGGTCACGTGACCGCGACGTTGGGTAATCCTGGGGTTTGAGTACGTAACATTCGAGCTTTTAAAAAAAGAAAATACTTATTCGCTCACCGATAACACGGGGACTTCGGACTTGTTAACCTTTGAATGCTTGTTTGATTACAAAAAGGATTCTAAACTATAAGTGTAAATATAATAACGTATATTCTGAGAGGGTAGAGTTAAAAATGAGTGTGTGCTGTCACTGTGAAACAAACAATTAAATCAATGGCATTCTTTGACAGCACTGGTTATCAGCTAATTTGACTGCATGCTACATGTTGTCAGCACATTTGGAACACATCCGTTTTGAGGCTGGGGAATTGTTTTTATTAATATTGTTTTATTATTATTATTTATCCGAAATTTAGCTCATCGAAAATCTATCCACTGTAGTGTAATGCAGGTCGGTGAGTTGCCCACAGGAGGGCGGTATTTGCTAGGTGCGTGGATGCTGAATGATTTTAAACGAGGGAGATAGCCGTTGTCAAATTGTTATAATTAAAACGTTTTTTTATACTGCTGTTAATGAATGCTACAGGTAATTAAGAGATCAAATGTTTTTTCAAAACCATCTCAAGCCTGAAGATAACTTGGCTTCTTACACTTGCTTCACAATATATTGAGTAACGAGTTTCAGTATGATCTTATCTTTGTGTGTTTCCGCTTTTGCACATTCCCTTTCAGTAGTGAGAGAAAGAGTTTTAGGCAAAGAGTATTCAAACTACCATTCTTCTCAGAAAACGTAAAGTCATCCCCTGATTCAGCTTGTGAAACTTTCTATACCCATTTCTTTTTGAGTGACGTAAATGAATCATCAGCCAAACGTATTATTCTATAATGACCTGCTATTTATAAATTCGTGTAAAAAAAATACAACAACACGTATTTTGTCGGAATAGACCGATATTTGTGGGAGAAATAAGCTGTTCTTAGGTAGACACATCTACTAGCAGAGGCTAATGAGGCTATGTTAACCAGTCAAACCTTGACCCCTTGATCCCTACCAGCTCGACACAGCAGCACATGAGTTTTGGCAGTTAGACGGGCTCTGGTTTAGGGTAGGGGTATTCAACCAATGACAGATGGGTGTGTTTAGAACAGATGGGTGTGTTTGAGTGAAAAGTTAAAAGGAATAATATGACTGCCTTCGTATTTCCATTTAAGTCTCTCAGTGCTATATGAGATTCTGGTAACGTTATATTCTCCCGCATCAAGATGTGGTAGGACGTAGGAGAAAATAACGATGATCAGTCAACAAACATTTTCGTTTATTGTATTAAAACGTTTTAGACGTTTCAGATATTTTAAATAGCTTTAGTATAAAGGTTAATTTTATCAGTTTTGCTTTGTCTGCAATATTTAATTTTGTGCTCAATTTTCTAACAATCTACTGCGGAAGTGATTGTGCATAGACCTTATTCAGAGCAGCGCCACTGCAGGTATGAATTTAAAGGAGTAGTTCACATTTAAAAAAAAACTTTTGCTGATAATTTACTCCCCCCCATGTCATCCAAGATGTCCATGTCTTTCTTTCTTCAGTCGAAAAGAAATTAAGGTTTTTGATGAAAACATTCCAGGATTTTTCTCCATATAATGGACTTCAATGGGAACCAACCGGTTCAAGGTCTAAAAGACACTTTCAGTGCAAACTGCAAACTGTTCAAAGGGATTTAAACGATTTCAGATGATGAATAAGGGTCTTGTGAAGTGAAACGATCACTCATTTAAATAAAAAGTAACAAAGTTTAAGTTTTATAAGCTCAAATGCTCGCCTTGCTCTGTTCTGTGACGCGTGACTCTCCTATTCAAACTCGTTCATCAAAATGAACGAATCTTTTCCAGAGTCAACTCATTCATTTAGTTCGCTGAATGAACCAAATGACACGAAAAAAGATTTGTTCATTTTTGGGGACTTGCATGCACTAAGCGTTAGCGCCACCTGTCTAGAGTTTTGCGCGATTGACTCAAAGGTCATCCTCAAACAAAGACATGGCTATGTCCCGAAGGTGATAGGCACTCCCTTTAGAGTGCAGGTTATTTCTCTGTCGAATCTGCCAGTATCCCAGTTTGGGTGTTGAGAGCTCACATAATGCGCTCCGCCTCTTTCAGATGCTCAGAGCAGCTTTTCGTTTCATTTGGATTGCGCACCAAGGGTCTCGCCTCCTCGACACTCCCTCTGTCCAGATGGATAGTGGACGTTATTGCTGCCACTTACGCGTCGAAAGGGCTGCAATTTAGGGCTCATTCCACTATAGACATGGCCTCGTCGTGGGCATGGTCCAGTGGAATTTCCATTCATGACATCTGTATGGTGGTGGGCTGGGCCATCCCGTCTACATTTGTGAGGTTTTTATAACATGGAAGTTCCTGCCTTGCAGGCTAGACTCCTGTGAGTCTAAGATGTGTATGTTCTGTCCGACTCCACATGCTTGGCGCAGGCTACTTTCAACTAATTAGCTCTCTTGGTTGAGTTGAAATAATATGTAATATGTAATATTTGTAGAACGGCCGCGTCACTCTTATCCACCTCAATTGAGTGCATAAAAGGATGGAATTTGCCAGGTGCATGAGAGATTTGCATGAGAGACACTGGGAACACACTATGTGGGCCTCCCAGCTAGATCACCAGTTGAGGTCAAAGTGAGATGTAAACTGTAAACAAGGTGACAGAAGTTCCTGTTTGTGTGACAAGTGTTTCTGGTGTAGCAAATTTGCGAGTGTGTGTCATGGAGAAAAAAACAGGGAGCTTGGCTGTTGCCATCTTAACGTGCAACCAATAGGGCTACGTGTGATTTGTGTGTGTGTGTGTGTGTGTGTGTGTGTGTGTGTTAAAGGGAGCTGGTGGTAGGAATGGCTATGGCACCAGGGGGCTTATTGTGTGTAAGATCTCCCACACTTCCATGTTCATCCCATCACCCCCTTCCCACTGCCACCCTGCCACTTGCCTTCCTTCCTTTAAATTCAAGTGCTTTGTTCCTCCTTAAGTCCTTTGTTCTTCCTCCGGCACAACATTCCAATCAAGCTGAGCACACAAACACATGCATATGAATGTGTGCCATCCTTCTTTATTGGGCCTCTTCCCTGACACACATTACATTTATCATCCTTCTGTCTAAGGACTGACTAATTTAAAGCTCTGCCTGCTACTTAAGCTCAATAATGCCAGATTAAGGAAGTGAATGAACGCTGTTAGTTAGGTGGTGGATCAAAGAAAAGGCATTTGTCGAGAAGAGAAATTGTGTCATATATGCTGACGATGATTATTATAAACATCCTCAGTATATATATTTCACAATTACATTTCAGCATAATGTGTCTAGGAATTCTTGATGTTATTAATGCTAAGCTGTATAATTAACCAATGTTGAATGTAATTGATTTACTAGCATGTCTGTCATTCGATCCCTCTGTGGTTTTATTTGACATATAAGTTCAAAACAATATATATATATATATATATATATATATATATATATATATATATAAATTTGAAATTTTCTTCTTTAATGATGATTTTTATCAAACTTTTATATTCAAGTTCAGTGATTTCACTTAAATGGCAATGATAATTATCTATTAATTGTTATTTAAGTGAAATTACTGAACTTAAATATACAAGTTTGATAAAAATCATCATTAAAGAAGAAAATTTCAAATGGCATTTAGAGGCTTTTGCATCTGAACTCTTCATATTGACTTGGTTTGATACTGTTTAAACGTTTTGTGTGAAAAATTTGTTTTAATGTTTTTAAAGGAAGTCTGTCATGCTCAAAAAAGGTTGCATTTAAAAGCTGGATTTTCAACATCATTATTCTAGTCTTCAATGTAGCATTATCCTTCAGAAATCTTTCTAATAGGCTGATAAAAATGTTTTATTACGTTTTTATCCTTGATTAATGTATCCTTGCTTAATAAAAGTATTTAAGGTTGCACTTTATTTCAAGCTGTCAGTGTTATGCATTTAATTAATGTAATAATAATATTTAACTATGTACTTACTAAAGAGTTAGTTTGGTTTAGGGTTAATTGCATGTAATTATAGATAATTTAAAGTACAATGTAACAATGACACTGTAAAATAAAGTGATACCGGGCGTATTTAATTAATCTTCTCTTTTCTCAACTGTTCACTTCAACATCAACTGTTCTCAAAGTATAGCATAACATAAGTTCCACTTAAGTTCACAAAAATGTGCTAACACAAGTCACATTATCATGAAAAAAGTGTTTTTAAATTGTATAAATTGGTTATACTTCAACAAAAACGTCTTAATAAATTTTAAAGTGTGGCTGAAGTGTCTAAATACTTTTTGGGGTCACTTTATACCCATTTATGACTCCTAATTTTGTTAACTCTGCATTAATAATGTGTTAACATCTCGCCATATGTTACTGGCACATATCCCGCGACAGCACTCCCTTCACCCCTCAGTTAAGGGATCAGTGTAGAATCGGGAGCGTTAACAAAGCTTTTGAGGAGCAGACAGTCCCGACGCAGACTACAATGGAGGGCCGCCTCTGTATTTGCGTTTTTTGCCGAGAGGTGGTGGCGAGGTTGACGAGAGGGAGTCGAGGGGTGGAAGAGTTGAATGACCCTGCAGCAGTGGTCCCACTGAAGCTCTGTGACCCCCGGAGTAACGGGCCAACCTCCTGGCGTGAAGTGTTTTGTGTTTGTGGTTGTGTGGAACAGCGTGGAGAGGAGAAGGGGGGGTTTATGGGAGTGCAGCAGATAATTCAGGCCTCCTGCAACACACATGGCCCTTGAATGAAAAGGGACCTCTGCATTGTGAGGGCATCTCAATGGCTTGAGCTCCTTATTTGTTGAAGACAAATGTTCCTCTGAACATAAGTGTCTTGTGCTTAAACACTGAACAGAGAGAAGTCATTAATCATCCATTTTGTGTGGCCGAGCACTTGCTCCAAAAATTAAGAAATGTACTCGACATTCATAGAAGCTGGCGTGATGAACAAAGATTGATTAATAAATGTTGTG